GTTTTTCCACTGCAGCAAATTTTTTAATCTCAAAGAATATATTTTTTCATGTTTTATGTATGTATATATGTATGTATTATATGAATTTAAAATATGTTATCTCTAATATTTTTCTCATCGATATTCAAATAAAAAAAATTGGCTTTTTCCTCAAAGACTGTAAAAATTGCTTTTTTCCCCCCTCAGAATATCAGTCACAGCAAGTATTTCGGTAATAAGCCATCAAAGGCTAAATGTAAAAATAGAAAATATACAATTAAAATAATAATAAAATATATAAATATATAAATTATATGTGTGTGTGTAAATTAAATAAAGTAAAAAAATTTAAAACGTTTTAGATTTCGATAAATTGTGAAAGGGGGGAAAAAACTACAAATCCCACTTCTTGTTTAGGTAGATGTGATTGGCTGAGTCTGACCGCGCAGGCTCCTGTGAAAGCGCGATGTTCAAATTTGTTTCCGGTTTTACTTTTAGCCTTTGTCGCTAAGCCAGAGACATGGAGCGACCTCAAAACAGGTAGAAATTTTACCTTTGTCGTTATTACACTATACAAATGCTATTTTCTACAAAGCATTTGCTTTTGCGGCAAGGAAAAATGGCAACAATGTGTCCAACGACGCATTTTGGTTAATTTAACGGCATTTTCCGTCGTTGTCCGTACAACGGAGACCCCACCACCATTCAACATTCAGCAATTAGGTGGTTTAATGTTGTTTTGCATTTAATGAAATGCACGGGCTTGATACAACGTTAAACTTGTCATTTTCGGATTTTTTCACCTCTACTTTTCAGTTCGGCTTCTCTCCTACACATCAAAGAACTGGAATAAATCAAATTTTTACGTTTTGCAGTCGTAGCTCCTTTTTTCATCCTTCAAAATGAAACAAGTGGCAGGGAGTGGGCACTGAAGCTTTTGTGTGTTTAGTTAAGCGCAGTCTGTGTAATGTTTAACTTTAAATGTCACTCCATGGTTTCTAAAAACATGAATGGATTGCCCAAACAGGATCGGGACGATAGTTTGCCTTTTTTTTAATGCTAGCATTAGCCCGCTGGCTCTGCCTCGGTCTTTTTTGACATGTTGCTGCTGTTTTAAAACAGGGGAGCATCTGACCTTTAAAATAAGTCCACATCCGTACAGTCTGTTGAGTATAAATACGTTGTTGACACAGTGGCTATAATGCGTCTATAGTATATTTAGACATGGTGTTTGTGTATGAAATGAATGGTAATTTGTTTTATGAGTCCAATAAATTGGGTATTTAAGCACATGAGAAGTGCAGGTTTTGCAAAAGCCTTACTTGTGTTCCTAGTTCAAAGCACAAGTTTAACTGGAGATTGTTGCTTTATGTTTGATTTATTTTTTTAAATTCATGTATTGATTGACAAATTTTTCTTTTCAGTGTGGTGAGGACTCCCATCGACAGCATTGTGGCTCAGAGGAGGAGCAAAAATAAAAGCTACAGACAGTCATACCGCAGCTGCCTAGGCGCTGCTTCAAGGCTCGGCCACACCCCAGGATGGACAGCGCGGAGGCTCAACACCAGCAGAAGAACAAAGTCACACAATATCACTGTGAGTCAATGCAAGTTTCTCTTCTAAATATATTAATTATCTGGAGAACAGAACATGGAATCGCCATCCTTTGCATTCTGCTCTTTCCCTGGTAAAGGAGAAGGTGAATCCAGAGGATCTGGCCTTACTGGTGAAGACAGAGTGGCAGCTGTCGTACGTTACACCACTCTACCAGTTCAGACACACCCAGCTCAGGAGCTACTCGAGGCAGCTTTCGGCATTTATTACTGCAGAGAAGCAGCAGGGTTTGGCAGTGGAGGTTGAGGGAGCGCAGACCAGCTTCAGAGTTTCCTTCTCTGTGGTGCAGGGGCTGGGAGAGACGGACGATGATGCTGAGACGGTCCTCGTACAGGTAAGCACAGGAGTTTGTAGAGGCAGGGAGAAGGTTTTCAGGCACAGTATGAGCTGGCTTTACTCTGTCTTCTTTCCCGTCACAGATCCATTCAAAGCCAGTGTTTGCAGGGAAGGATGAGGCGCAGAAGTTGGTGTGGAGCGGCTGGCTGACCTGCATCAATGGCAATCCTGAATATCTTCACTCGCTTCCGAAGGACTTCACCTGTCTGCCGCTCTTTGGCAGCCGTGGGGCTGAGAATCTCACCTCGTTGGTCAAATCCTGGTTTCAGCAGACCTTCGACTGCTGCTTTGGCCCTCTGGAAATCAACCAGACCTGCCTGCAGTGGCTAGCGGCATTATGGACTAACTGCCACATAGAGTCCAGCATCCAGCATCTCAAAATGATTTGGACTCTTCCGGTTGAGCCACCGTTGCAGATCACCTACACAGTTAACCCTCAAGATGCGTGGGAGCTGTGGAACAGTGTGAGGACCCCTTCACTGGAGAGCAGGGAGGAGGAGGAGACGGCGAGAAGCATTGACATCGAGGAGGTGACGAGGTTCATGCAGGGCCTTATGAGCCACTTCTACAGGCATTTCAGATTGGACCTGTCAGCAGGACGCCTGAGTCAGGTCTCATCTGCACTGGGATCAGCCAAGTTCAGCGGCAGGGTCAAGGTACTGCCCTCAGAGCTTTATTTATTTTATTTTTTTAATGAAAGAAGAACCTGCTAATAATATTGGTTTACTTTTGTTTCAGATGTCCAACAGCAGATATGTCCTCACAACCCTATCACTGCTGACAGAGTGTGCCCTTCTCAAAATGCCCATCTGAGCACAAAATAATGACTTTGCAGCAAGAGGAAATGCAAATTCTGCAATATCAGTTTGCAAAACCTGTTATGGAATAACAAATATGGCTTTTTTATTCTTTTCTTTTTTTTTCCTTTTATGAGCAAAAACACAGTGTAGCCTCTTTACGTGAATTCACCACAGGCTAGTGGCTTCTGGCTTTTTTAAATTAATTTTTTTTCCCCTTTTTCATACTACAGATCTGGGACGTTACAGGAGCTCAGCACAGGGAGGATTGCGCTTGTAATTATGAAAAATTGAGGATAAAATCTGAATGTTTCTTGTCCGCTCACTCAGCTCTTCTTGTGAATACATTGTATGTTTATTCATGTTCATTCACCTCTTTGTATATTTTTGTCATTTATAGTTATAAATAAAAACCAAACAAGTGATATTAAAAAAAAAAAAAAGGAAGCAAATTGTCACAACGGAACTAAGCAGATGTTAGATTTCTGTGTGACTGAGAGCTTTGGCTTTTATTGTTAGTAAAGTAACTTTAGGTCAGGGGCTTTGATGTAGCCCCTGACCTAAAGGAGTCAACGCCATTGTCCTGCCCTTTAATCCAACTTAAATCTGCTTGGCTGCTCTTTATAACAGAAAGTTTAAACACCAGGTGGGTGGGGCTTCAGTGCTCACCCGTGATAGTTTTTTAGGAGTTTAAAGTGAAACAAATGTATGAAACTAA